CAACAACTAGTAAGAAGACATTAGTAACCAAGTCTACTACATTTCTTTCACCTTTCTAGGGCCACATATTCTCTCATCTCTGATTCTCTTTGCACACCACTGGGTCCTCCTATCTATTAAATCTATTGCCTTCTCTCCATTTCCACTGCCATGACCTTAGTCTATCGTACCACCCCCTTTTTTTGCCTGCAAAGCTGAAATGGCCACCTGTTCCTCCCCAAAGCTACTCTTGTCCATTTTCAAACTATTGTTCTCTATACTACATCCAGAGTGATTTTTTTAAAATGGAAAATTTATTCATTGGTTTTCCATTGCAGCTATGATAAACATCAAAGTCTTAAACATGTGCAGAATTGGATTACTATTCACCTACATTCTGTACCTTTTGCTGTGTTGCCCCTCTCTGCTGGAGGATTACACAGCCCTGCCCCGTGTTGCTCTCAGGCATGGCAAAGATTTGGCTGTTGGAAAGTGAGAGAAATCTGAGCACACAGTTTAAGAACCAGTGCATGATTTACTACTTTTCTTTTCCTTCTGCCATGACAATGGCAATGTTCCAGATAGAGACTGTTGTTTCATCCTGAGTGCAGAGTGAAGATGACATGAAGCAGTGCCACAGTGGGCATGGAGCATGAGCGATAAATAACTACACCTTACTGTAGACTACTGAGAATCTTTTGAAAGGTTTTGTTACTCAGCAAAACTTAGCCTATCCTGACTGATACATATAGTCTATGAGCTCTTGATTATTACCCCATCTCTTTGTTATAGCTTCACTGGCCTTTTGGTAATTACTAAAGTAGCTCCCTTCTACTTTAGAACATTTATCTACATTATTCTGTTTTCAGAAAGTTCTTTATTTTTTTTTTTTGCCCAGTTAAAATTTACCCATCAGTGAGATTGCAGCTTGAGTATGAATTACTCAGGAAAGGATTCCTTGACTCAGGTTCAAAGTACCCTGGATTTGCCTCCTTTTTCATTGTACCTATTTCACTAACCTACAAGTTCCATGAAGACAACAGACCAGGTATGCTTTGTTAGCTATTATATTCCCAGTGACAGAAAGGAAGGAGTTCTCTTTCTAAAAAGCAGTTGTTTCTGCATCTTTGTACACATGGCAGAAAAAGGTCATCCTAGTCCTAGAACTACAATACCTCCCTCTAGGGCCACCAATTGATCAGCATTCCAATGTTCTATTACCAAATTCTTGGAGACAAAACTGATTGGCTAAACTTGGATATGGTCTGTCAGTGGTCCAGTAATAGTCTACTGGACCATCTTGGTTAAGCAGAGACAACACAGCTACAGACACTTCTCTGGAGATAAGAGGAATTCACAGTGAAGGGGACATGGACTGAGCTGACATCCCAAAAACCATCTGCTACAGTCACTATAGCTGACTCTACCCTTCTGTGTTCTTGACTTTAATAACCTTTTCTCAAAATTATCCACATATAGCATACAAGGGAACAATTTCTACAAGGGGTTTCTTAAGGAAGAAAAGCGTGGGGACCAACACTGTCTTCCTGAGTTTTGCCCCTCCTTTGGGATTCTCTTACTTTGATTACCACTGCCACTTCACTCTGATCTCTTACATGTAAGAAGAGGGTTCGCTCCTCTTTTTTTTTTTTTTTAACACTAACATTGAAAACAACAACTGCAGGAGCAAAACAAAAAGAAAAAAACCCTTGCCTCAATTTTCCATAATACCATAGAGACAAGCTGGAATTTTCAAACACTTTACTAAATGTTAAGCAAGAACAAAAGGAAAATAAACAACGCAAGGCAATAAAAATTGTGGCTCACAAAGGTTTCTGACCTTTTCTCTGGATATTTAGTTCTTGTCTCATTTCACTTAAGATCTAAGGTAAAAGAGGAATCATATCTGACTATCTGAATGTGTTTCAACAGCACAGAAAATGAAAAGAACACAGTTAAGTTAGCTCTGCTACGATTTTTTCTGTAACATTTGTTCCATCTTAAAACGGAAAATAGAGGAATTTTGTATCTAATTATTGTTAACTGAAACTATTTCTATATGTTTGGTCATTTCTACTTCCTAAAGACCCTTAAAATATCTATGGAAAATTTTAAAAGGCACCACATAACTAGTAATATAATCCACATTTTTTTCAAAGGTCTTTAAATTCTTTTTTTAAAAAAAAACTTTCCTCTGTATTATTGTTAATATGAATTATTTTATTTATTTATTTTTTGGCGCTGGCTGGTACAGGAGTGAAACCCTGGACCTTGGTGTTATCGACACCACACCCTTCTCAGTGAGCTAACCAGACAGCCCTATTAATATAAATTATAATGAAACTTGAGGTGAACTGTACTTAGGATTTCCTAAAAACATTTGTAAATAGGGACTGAATACAACTCATCTGAAGCAACATATATGCTTCCATTAAAAGTTTTTCAAGTGTGCTTCAGTTTGATAAATATGATCCAAGTCCTATTATTTTTTTTTCCCTGTGAACAGAGACTATAATCTGGATAACAGCTTTTAGTTTAAACTAATTTGCTGTTTAAACTATCATATTTTCCAGACTATCAAGCGGTTTTCACATTGTATTGGCCTCTCTTTTGTGTTGTACCACCTTTCCCGACACAACTAATCTCAGAAATAATTCCTATAACTTTTAAAACTTTGTATATTTGTTGCTTACATTACGTGTGATATGTAAAATTAAAATTATTTTCAACCCTTGTTTTAGCACTAGAAATATGTAAAATTTAATGTCTTTTTCTATGGCAAAAATTTGAGGGAGTATAATGCTTTGAGTTCAATTTAAATGAGGATTCTAGTTTAAAGTTCTTATAAGCAGCAAGGTGTAGGTTAAAACAAGTAGGGGTGAAAATTAGGAGACGTAGGTTCCAGTCGCCATCTCTGTTACTAAGTAATAAAGTTATTGCTCCAAATTAGCTAAGTTAACTACGGCTTATTTTTTTTCTACCTATAATGAGAGTTATGGTAGACATATCAAATCTCCTCTAGTTCTAAAATTGCATAGTGCTAAAATGTGAACATTTTCTCTCTTATCTAAATCAACTTTTAAAAAGAATGCTCTTATCTAAATCAACTTTTAAAAAGAATGCTCATTCACTGTATATGTAAGCCCTTGCATAGGTGATTATTAATTCCACCATTATTAATCATCTGCTCTGTGCATATGTAAAATATATCTGCATGCATTCAATGTCCCTGAAATGCACATTTAAAATGGTTAAAATGGTAAATTTTATGATATGTATATTTTACCACACACACACACATACATGCAGTCCTTCCCTAACATTTTGTACCTACCATTTAAAATCACAGTATAGCTGTTTGGACACAAGTCTGTTTCCCCAGCGGACTCCCTAGTCAGTCCAGGAATAAGGACACCTTAATCCTAACTGTAATTCCAGGGCCTACTACACTGTCTAGCTCTTAGTTACCCGGGAGAGTAAATATATCCTCGCTTTTCCAAGTTTGCTATTTCATATATTTTAATTATCATTTTCAACCAAGGCGATTCACTAAACATATAAATAGTAGTAAGACTTTTGAAGTTCTGCCAGAAAAACTCTTCACGTATATCGTGAGTTGGGGTTCATAATATGTGGTCACAGAACACTAGATCTTAAATAAATATTTGTTGTATTAATGTATGAGACTTGAAGACAAAAAGATGCACATCAGCCCTACAGATCTTAAAGAAGTATGTCAACTAATGCCCTACCTACGCAGAAATCTACCTTTAAAAAAAAAAACCCTACCACTTTTTCCAGGTAGCTTTTAACAAAGACGTTGTACTTCAGCCTCAAATAATCAAAAGTTAGGCATTTGCCTGGAATATTCACTCTCTGCTCAGACAAAACAAAAGCTTACCCGTTGGAGACTTCGTTCACATTTCTGAATACAACAGTGTCATTTTTAAAAAACCTAAACTTACACTACGTAGTTATATGTTACTAAGTAGACGGCTTAGCTGTTTACCAAGCCAAGGAAAGTTGGCTTTTTTCCATTCCTAAGGCTAATCCTGCCCCACCCCACCTCAGTTAAATTCAGTTAAAACAATTCAAGAAGGCAGCTAATTAAATTCTGAGCTCAGTAGATTTCTCTAGCCCAAGCCATAGTATTACGGTGCTCGAGGAAAAAGCAATCTAAAAGCTGTGCATTAAAAGTTGCCAGGGATACAGCCGCTCACATTTCTTGAAAAGTACAGACCACACACCAGTTTCGCCAGCCCTGTACCTTGGCGGTCAAGAAGGCGCGCTGGGGTGGAGGCGAGCAAGAGGCAATATTATTCGCTCGGGTCGACGGGGGAAGGGGGACAGGAGAATAACCTATAAGATGTGAGTCTCGAAGCCCTTTGGTTTGTGGAGGTTAGAAAGGGGCCTATTTAAGTTAGGCCCAAATTTCGGCAAGAAGAGAGAAGGTGGAACTGGAAACAAACAAAACAAAACAGCTAGCAGGCTCCCGAGTTCTAGCGTTCACGGTGGGGCCGTTAAACGCAGCCGGAAAGTGGGCGTGTGTTTTCTTCCCCTTCCCGCCTCCCTAGAGACGCGAGCCCAGTCCTTTCCCCTCATTTTCACCCCGGCCCAGTCCAATGGCTGTTCCCGCCCCCAGCGCAGCTCCATCCTCGGGGTCCCCTCCGCCTCACCTCCCCCGCCCGGCGAGAGGTGGTGGCTGCAGCCGTCACGTGTGCGGACAGCCGCCAAGTGAGGCCGCTTTTGCGACGCGGTGACAGCCAAATGGTGCGACAGGAGGAGCGCAGCCGCGGCCGCAGCGCCCCTACGGAGAGGCTTGAGGCGGCTCCTGGCGTCGCCCAGAGGGAGCGACTGAGCGAACAGAGTCCGGCGCGGGCAGCGACGGCGGGCGGGCGGGCGAGCGGGCGGCGAGGGGGAGACTGCAAGGAAGCAAGTCAAAGAAATAAGAAATTTTAAACAGAGGGAGCGACTGAGCGAACAGAGTCCGGCGCGGGCAGCGACGGCGGGCGGGCGGGCGAGCGGGCGGCGAGGGGGAGACCGCTACGAATGCCCTCGCTCCCCGCTGCTCTCGATGAACCGGGCGGAATAAGCCGCGCCTCCAGGAGGGGCTGCGCCTCCATGAATCTCTAGTTTTTTTTCTTTCTCTCCCCGCTCCTTGCCCCCACTCCCCGAGTCCTGCCCTGCTTTCTCCCTTCGCCAGCGGCGGCCGCGTCCAGGTGCGGAGTCCAGAGAGGAGCGCAATGGCGTCCAACCCCGAACGGGGGGAGATTCTGCTCACGGAGCTGCAGGTAAGGGCCGCGGCCCGGCGGGAGGCGCCGGCGGAGGAGACAGGGAGAAAGTCTGGCGCGGGCTCGGCGACCGAGGGAAGCCCTGCGGCCGCCCGCGCCCGTCGGCCGCTAAGTGCGGAAACTCGGGGATGTCACTCGGGAACCGCTTTCCTCCGTAGCCGGACCCTCTCCCTCGCCGAGGTCCGGCCTGCCGCCGCTTTCATTTGATTCTATCTACCATAGGGGACCTTATCACTGCCGGCTGCCTGCAGCCCTGCTGCAGCCGAAGCCTGCGCTCACCCGGTGCCCGGAGTGACCAGCCCACCGCCCCCTCCTTTGGTGTCAGAGCGGCCCGCGAACGCCCCTGCCTCCCCCTCCCTCCGCCCGGCCGGGCCCCGCCCGGCCTTTCCTCCTGCACCGCTCCTTAAACTCCTTTGAATGACTCCCAAGTTGTTTTCTCGTCCCTCCCCTTCCCCCTCAGGCTCTGCACAAAGAGCGCCCCCATAACTTCCAGCCCCCAGACAAGTGGGGTTTTTTGTTTTGTTTTGTTTTGTTTTTAATAAAACGAGTCTCTCCAAAGTGCTTGCTTCGCTTCACCAGCCCTCTTCAGGTGACTGAATTTCTTTCTTCTGATTTGAGGGCTACCTTTTTTTTCTTTTTTACCAAGTGATAGATATATGGTCCCTTTCTCGGAGACCCCTGCTCAGATCCGGAAGCTCAGATGCTGATGCTTTTCAGACTTTCATTTTCCCTCCCATTTGAACACCAAAGAAAGAACTACAGAAGTTGTTTACAAATGGGAAAGCAGTCGACTAAGGGAAGACGTTGGGCACCACATGTCTGCAGAAGATGAAGATAAAATATAGATCCCTTAATTAGTTAAGTCCATATCGAGTAGCAATATCATTCTTTTCCATTTCCAGCTAAATATTTGATGATGTAGGCACGATTTTTGTTTTTAGATCTCTGTGGTGTACTAGGGACTTAAGCTACTCTGTTGGGTTTATTTTTCATTGCTTTGGAGTGTTCCAGAGATCTTTACATCTGGGTTAAAATTTTATGCTTGTTTTTTGACATAAACTTATTTTGATTTGTTTTTAATATAGTCATCTTTTAGCTACCTGAAGATTGGAGATGGCAATTAAAAGAAGGGGAAAAAAAATAGCGTTTGCTTTCTTTTTTGTGGATTAGGTAGTTAGTTTTTTTAAAAAAGGCTAAATCTAGAAACTGGTTGATTTTTTATGATGTCTAAGTTAAGTATTGCAGCTGCATCAAAATTTCTTGTTTAAATGCTTTTTTCGAAAGATCCCTATATAAATTTGGTTTGTTGTGCAGTCAGATGTAAATCTGAAAGCATTGCTGTAATACTTGATATTTCCTCCACAAAAATAGAAATTTCAACAAGGTACACAAGTGCACTGTTGCAAATTTGGGATCCTTTGGAAATGCAAAGCTGAATTTCAAACCATTGAAAATGTTGCTATATATTATTTTAATTATAGTTAGCTTTTTATAAGCAGGTCTTATAGCATACCACATTTGTTAAATGAATGGAATTTGTTATTTTATTAATTTACATGAGCTTTTAAAATGAAGATGGATTGAGGCACATTGGAAATACTTTACATTGCCTAGTCTTGAAAAACATGCTTTGGTTTTGACTGAGAAAAAGCCATTAAAATGACAGCAGCATTTTTCTTTTGAATTGAACGGCATTAGAGTTATAAAGTATTTGGCATTCTTTTTTGTATTTTATAGAAAGTTGGCATAAAAAACACTTAGTTTGGCACTGGAACTAAAAACATTTTCATGTGTATTAAAATACAACCTTTAGGATCTTTTATTTAATAAGATCAGTTTTGGCAATAGCAAGGAAGCAAGTCAAAGAAATAAGAAATTTTAAACATGACAATTTAAAAAATGGGACGAAAGTAGGGGAACACCTAATCTAAAGTTGAGTTTTAAATCAACTAAAATATAACTTCCTCCAGAAGAAGAATAGTTCTTATTAAGTGTTACCTAATAAGTTGTCTGTATATCCAGGGCATTTTTCTTGATTTATTTGACTTTCAGTTGTTCTTGCATTTAAACTTTCTCGTGTTTATTAAAGTATTTGAGAACATTATTTATATCAGCATGTAAGATAAATAGGCATACAATTTGCTTCATCTAGTATATCCATCTATTCAAACATTTTATTATTTCATTGGGTCATGAAACTAGTATTTAGTAACCAAATATTTATCAAACTTTTATTTTCAGAATCAGTTTTTTAAAAGCTTCTAAATTGTTTAAATCTATTTCAATTGAAAAATTATTTAATATGAAATTCTTAATACTTCTGTGTCATACAGATTTTAAGCAGTTAAATAGGTTAAGTAGCCAATTTTAAAATGTGTTTAATAGTTAAAAGCTGTTACTTTGCTATATCTTGTCTTAGTAATACTTGTTTCACTCTGAAAGTTACATATTACAACCTGATTTTAATGAGATTGATACTGATTTAGAAACATAACCAATTTTTAATTACTTTTTCGAATTATATTACAGAATTTGAAATACTTTATTACTTGAGCTGGAATTGGCTTGTTAATAACCTCTGGTTGTGGAAAGACAAAACTAAGAAAATCTGAAACTATAGTACTTTGTCTTGTTAATTACTGTAATGTTTGTATGAATATGGAGTAATGTTTCTAACTCTTGCTGGTAGTTCAGGAGACTTATTCAACAAGGAAGCATTAGTAAAAGTACATACAGACTTTGATGGCTACAGGCTTCAAGGTGTAAGGAAGAGTATTTGCTGTAGTAAAAATAAAAATAGGCTATTTAAAACTGTAAACTTAATTGGCAATTTTTAATTTTTATCCCATACGTAATTTGTAGTGTTGTATTCTCTTTATTTTTTATTTGAAGCCTAGCAAGAAACTTAGATATTTTTGTGAGGCCAAAGAAACTGAAGTTTATTTCCGAGGAAACTGCATTAATGAAAACTATAAAGAATCTCAAAATGAAAATGTTGGCTACCACAGTAATTTTATAGAATACAGAACCAAATAATGAACAGTATACTAGTAAAGTTACTTTATTGATTATGGAGATTCATCTCCATCAAAATGCCCAATAAGTGTTGGGCTGGGAATCTTAAGTTACATTTTCAGCATAACTTATTTAGGTAGAGGTAACTTGCTCAAGTGGGAAGGTTGAGGTAGTTAGCCCTAAATTACAGGCGTTAATTTTAGCAGTTATTGAGTATCTACCAAAGCTATATAGGAGGATATAAAGATGACAGGGTAGTTTTTTTATTTTTTAGAAGAGAGTACAAATAACATTTATTGATTATTTGCTGCATATCAGACATTCATTGTACTTAGTACCCTATATACCTTAGTTGATCTTCACAACAAGCCAGTAAGGTGGATGTTGCTATTTTCATTTTAATCAGGAAACTAGGTTCAAGAATGTTAAGTAAATTGCCTGTGGTCACAGTGTAAGTCTGAGTTTGAACTCAGGTCTATATATTTCATGCCACACCATTCTTTAAGCTAGCACAGTTCTGTGGACCCATAAATGTTTTACATTTCAGAGTTATAGTTTTGTGACCTTTCTAAAAATTGGCCAAAAAATGTAATTAACCAGAGTTAACTTTAATATAAATTTTATACTTCTTGTTAGATCCCTGTATAATAAGGAAAAATGATTTCCACATTGTTTGGTAGTCTATTATTTAGCTGTCCTTTTTATTGTGAATAAGGTGTAATATTCCACAGAGAATAACAGTTCAAGTAATCCTTTGGCAGGCTTTCTTAAAAATTACTGTTCCTGATGAAAGGTGTCAAGTGTTTCCTAAAAACCTCCCCAAAGACTTAGCATTTCTCTGTAAACTGTTCATAGGATAAATTTTGCTTTAAAATTTTAAGCTCATGTATTGCCTAGCTCTGTGTTTGGCACTTAGTAGGTTCTGAATAAATTGATGAGAAGGCTCCATTTGTCATCTGGAATGAGGAATGTCTAGACTGTTTTAAAAGCATTCGTTATTATCATTGATGAAAAAATTACCTAGTTTTCTTTAATTTACACTTCTAATCTCTTCTTCCAAAAATATTCCCTGAAAAGTACAAAAAGAATTTCTACAGTAGATATGTTACACTTACATACAGCACCCTGGTATTTTTTTACCCATTTGATGGGAAATTAGGAGGTGGCATCTAATTTTGCAGTGATACTGGAAAGTGGAAGATCTGAGTTGGGAGGATTAAGATTTTAGGGTGGTTTGGGGGAATGTAGCATGAGAAGGTAAGCAAATTGATAAGACAGATTTTATAGTTTTTTCAAATAACTGCATTTTTTATAAATGCAGTGTACATTTATTGTAGAAAATCAGGAAAGTGTAGAAAAGCACAAAAGAAAATAAAAGTTGCTGTAGTTCTGTCACTTAGAGATAACTGAAAGACTTTTTCAACTTAAAAGCACAATGGCATTTGAGTCTGTCTCCTCTTTTCCTTCTTCATCTCATTTTACTTATTAGAATTTTGAAGAAAAATGAGGTTCATAGAGTTTTAAGATAGAAATCAATTATAGGTTAAAAATTTTTTTCTTGCTCTGGTTCTAGATAAGTGGACCTAACTAGCTTTATTGACTTTTTTAAGAGAACCTCAAAGTATTTTGATTTTGAATCTGTGTTTTGAAATATAGTTAAGAAAAGTGGATTTACTATGGATTTAGTAATGGACAATGATACATAGCAACCGCTCTTTGAACAATAAATCAATACACTGTGGTTTTTCAGCTTAGATTTGATTATTGCTACTCTTATAAAATCTGCAGTGTTTATAATTTGTAGTGCATACGTTAGTGAATTCAACACACATCATTAAGTAACTTGCCAAACATTTATCGACTACCTAGGTAAAAGTCTCTGTGCTGAAACTATTGTTATTAAATGATGACTCTAAAATGGATCATATTTTCCAATCATCTCTCATTAGTGTAGTAGAGGTTCTGATCTCCTTCAACTCCTCCCA